CCTCGCTTTCCTTTTTCTCGCCCCTCATTAGGTCGATTGATTTATTTAATTTTTTTATCCGCTCGTCTTCTCACTTAATGGGAAGATAACGGAGAGAATCTTCAGATGAAATCTTTGATAGTGCTCAGCAGAACTCTGAATAGACACGTGTCCAACCCGCAAAGGACTAGTTTTTATCATACAACACTGAAAAAGTTGGGTGCATTTTCAGGAGAGATCAGCTTTTTTCGCCAGTTTCTGCTTGCGCTTAAGGTGATTCGATGGACGCCATATTTTGTGTCAGAACGGCATGCGATATATCGCATGAATTGGTTCCATTTTTTCAACTACTTGTCATTTTTCTGCACTTTTGAGATCGCAATTCTGTTGTCAGGAGACTAAAGCATTCACTTACCAATTTTAACAAAGAAATTCAACGTAATAAAGGCGTAGTTTTTTCAGAGAGAAAATGTTGCATTCGAGTGCAGTTTCGATATCAGTATCGAATTCGATTATTTCACTTTAAAAAAAAACCACGCCTTTATTACGTTGAATTTCTTTGTAAAAATTGGTAAGTGAGTGCTTTAGTTTCCTGACATTAGAATTGCGATCTCAAAATTGGAGAAAAATGACGAGTTGCTGAAAAAATGGAACCAATTCATGCGATATATCGCATGCCGTTCTGACACAAAATATGACGTCCATCGAATCACCTTAAGGAAGTACTCACTGCGTCGATTAAATAATTAATCACGCTGAGTATTATTTCAGTCGTGGCGACAGAAGTTTCCCTGAAGTGGTACAGTTTATTCTGGTTGTGACAGTCTGAAAATTTCTCATTACAACACTGATTGAATCCAGTGAAACTATATAGAACGTCAGAGAATTTAGAACTTAAAAAGTAACTTTGGCGATTTGAAGTTTTTCGAAATAGTCTATTGTATCACGTTCTTGCGGAATTGCATAGTTGGATTCCACGTGCTTCAATTCTTTCCTTTTCGCACCCCTATATACATTTTCACACCCCTAATCTGACTTTATTTTTCCTCTGTGAAAATCTAACTCTGTCTTTCCGAGTTCGAAGTGTGTTTGATTAAAGAAAGGATAGAGAAATAGATGAGGGTAAAATAAGAATTTTCGGAAACTTCTATAGAAAGAGGACTTTTTTTGCGGAAGTCAGGAAAAAGTAAGTGAAAGTAAAGAAAATGAAAGGATTTTAAATGAAGAAGACACTTTTGTGCTCAAAAAAAAACCTAATTTTCAGGTGAATTCAATATTAAAGAACTAAGCGCGGAAGATTTTTGTGCTTCTTGACTATTTTGTATTTAATTCATCCGTAAATCTTTTTTTTTGCTCAGTATGAAATTATGAATACGTCAATCGATTGCTGAAAACGAAAAATTCGCATCTCAATCGCAACATTTAAGTATCTTCGATTTTGTTTTAAATCCTCGGACGAGAACTGGTCAAAATCTTTCCCTGCAATTTTGTGTAATTTTATCAAATGGGTGAAGACAATTCTTAGAAAATTCCTATAGAAACTGTTGGTTAGTTTCACTTTGAAATGAAACATGAGCAAAGACTTACAACGTTGTAATTTGAGATACGCATTTTTCAATCGAATCGTGTCGTGCAAGAACCGCTAATGTCCATTTTCCAGTCTTGAGTTTTTTGGGTTGATAATACTCTCCGGAGTTGGATGCAACCACGAAATTGGCGTTAATATTCGTTTTTGGGTTACTTTATACCCAAAACGAGTCCTTTCATCAGTCTCATGGTTGTATCGACTCTTCAAAAGTACTATTAACACAAGAGAACTGAAAGCTGAAAAAATGGACATTATCTGTTTTCGTGCGACACGATTCATTCAGCGGACACTTTTTAAACTTTTTTTTCTGCCATTTAATGGCTTTGTGTCCTACAGCCAACAGCTTTTGCAGCCAACTTTAGACTAGTCTTTTTAAACTTACCGATGACGTTCGTAGCGTCTACACAGATCCAAATGTCTAGTGATCACCAAATTGGCAAATCGGGAAATGATCCTCGCCAAATTTTTGTCCAGACTTTTTCCTCAGTATTTCCGAGAGGAATTGTATAAGATCCCAAGAGTCGCGCTTTCCGTCGCGCGCTCGGTGTCTCGGACAGAACGAAAGCTTGGAGGACAAGAAAAATGAGAAAATTGAAACTGGGAATGGTGATTAGTTGTTTGTAAACGGTGTAATTACCCGAAATGAATGCCTCCGCCCGTCCACCAACGCAGCTCGCCGTTAACAACTCGCGATGATTCGATGTATCGCAGTTCGCTTCGTCCGATTCCCCTATCCTCAGCCGGCGATACTAATGAATAGTATCGAAGTATCGATTGCACCTATCGAGTCTCGAAGAGAGCAGCGTTGTCAATTTGACTCAGGCCAGATCCGATCGAGGAAAAAGCAACCACTACCATCGATTCGATTGATAATGACATAGGAAACGAAGTAAATAAATTGAAAGGGAAGGGTTAAATAATAAAATTGATCATTTGCGCTAGTCGTCAAA